TCTGGTAAGGAATAGGCAATGTCAGGTTTCATTTGATTCAGGGTTAGGAAACTTTGTCACTATACTGTTAGGACAGTCTTTGGGAGTCATTATCACATTAGGAAAAACCCTGTGAATATGAAAGGCAAGGGAGTCATCTGAGAAAAACATACACCCATGCCAACACATACACATGGGTAAACAGGCAAATACTTTTACAAGCATATACTACATGTACCCATACACATGCATGCACATGCACACATGCATGCGCATGCACTCACTCATGAGATCAGGAGGGAGTGAATCTGGGGTGGCAAGTTAAGAACTGGGGCCAGGATTTGAGAACTGACCCCCTGTACCCTTAAATAGGTGAAAACATAAACACACATTACCATCCTAAATATAATTAGTATCACTCACCATTAATTTATTCATGTTTGAGTTTTAACAAAATATCTAACACTGTTACAATATCATCTATTTATTTGTTAGAACAATGTTTTGCTCAAAAGAGCTTACCTCATGTCCATATCACACTGTGTAAAAACTCTATGCACATAAAGGGCCCCAAAATATGGAATTCATTACCAGAAGATATTAAAGTAACCCAGTCTGAAAATCAATTTAAGACTCTTCTCATAAGTCACTTAATCACCCTAGACTAAATGCTAAATACTCAGTACACATTTACTCACCTATGTACTCCCACATCATAACTGAAACAATCACATTGAACCTTTTATCCATTGTTGACAGGAATATAATTGAATCATTGTTTTCACAAAAAGCATTTTAGAATAAAAATACTGTATATCTTTGTATTATACAAATTTTGATTCATTTATAATTAATATTCTACTGTACAACTATGAAATAATTACTATCCTACTGTACAACTATGATATACTCCTTAGTGTTAAGTAGTCTGTAAGCCAATAATGTTAAGTTGGCACATAATGCCTAGGCATAATAGAGGCTCTCTTTGTATTACAACCCACTATTGTAAATACAAAATCTCAATGTACTGTTTGCAAAGACATAAAATAAATAAAAAAATTAATAAATAAATTTTGTTAATATTAGGCAGTTCGGGTGAGATATAAGCGACTATTGGCAGAAAGGTGGGCTAGTGCAAAGATGAGTAGTGGGGGGGTTGAAGAGGGTTGGAATAGTTTTAAAAATGCAGTATTAGAATGTGGGGCAGAAGTTTGTGGTTATAGGAGGGTGGGGGCAGGAGGAAAGAGGAGTGATTGGTGGAATGATGAAGTAAAGGGTGTGATAAAAGAGAAAAAGGTAGCTTATGAGAGGTTTTTACAAAGCAGAAGTGTTATAAGAAGAGCAGAGTATATGGAGAGTAAAAGAAAGGTAAAGAGAGTGGTGAGAGAGTGCAAAAGGAGAGCAGATGATAGAGTGGGAGAGGCACTGTCAAGAAATTTTAATGAAAATAAGAAAAAATTTTGGAGTGAGTTAAACAAGTTAAGAAAGCCTAGGGAAAATATGGATTTGTCAGTTAAAAACAGAGTAGGGGAGTTAATAGATGGGGAGATGGAGGTATTGGGTAGATGGCGAGAATATTTTGAGGAACTTTTAAATGTTAAGGAAGAAACAGAGGCAGTAATTTCATGCACTGGTCAGGGAGGTATACCATCTTTTAGGAGTGAAGAAGAGCAGAATGTAAGTGTGGGGGAGGTTCGTGAGGCATTACGTAAAATGAAAGGGGGTTAAAGCAGCTGGAACTGATGGGATCATGACAGAAATGTTAAAAGCAGGGGGGAATATAGTGTTGGAGTGGTTGGTACTTTTGTTTAATAAATGTATGAAAGAGGGGAAGGTACCTAGGGATTGGCAGAGAGCATGTATAGTCCTTTATATAAAGGGAAAAGGGACAAAAGAGACTGTAAAAAATTATAGAGGAATAAGCTTACTGAGTATACCAGGAAAAGTGTACGGTAGGGTTATAATTGAAAGAATTAGAGGTAAGACAGAATGTAGGATTGCGGATGAGCAAGGAGGTTTTAGAGTGGGTAGGGGATGTGTAGATCAGGTGTTTACATTGAAGCATATATGTGAACAGTATTTAGATAAAGATAGGGAAGTTTTTATTGCATTTATGGATTTAGAAAAGGCATATGATAGAGTGGATAGAGGAGCAACGTGGCAGATGTTGCAAGTATATGGAATAGGTGGTAAGTTATTAAATGCTGTAAAGAGTTTTTATGAGGATAGTGAGGCTCAGGTTAGGGTGTGTAGAAGAGAGGGAGACTACTTCCTGGTAAAAGTAGGTCTTAGACAGGGATGTGTAATGTCACCATGGTTGTTTAATATATTTATAGATGGGGTTGTAAAGGAAGTAAATGCTAGGGTGTTTGGGAGAGGGGTGGGATTAAATTATGGGGAATCAAATTCAAAATGGGAATTGACACAGTTAATTTTTGCTGATGATACTGTGCTTATGGGAGATTCTAAAGAAAAATTGCAAAGGTTAGTGGATGAGTTTGGGAATGTGTGTAAAGGTAGAAAGTTGAAAGTAACATAGAAAAGAGTAAGGTGATGAGGGTGTCAAATGATTTAGATAAAGAAAAATTGGATATCAAATTGGGGAGGAGGAGTATGGAAGAAGTGAATGTTTTCAGATACTTGGGAGTTGACGTGTCGGTGGATGGATTTATGAAGGATGAGGTTAATCATAGAATTGATGAGGGAAAAAAGGTGAGTGGTGCGTTGAGGTATATGTGGAGTCAAAAAACGTTATCTATGGAGGCAAAGAAGGGAATGTATGAAAGTATAGTAGTACCAACACTCTTATATGGGTGTGAAGCTTGGGTGGTAAATGCAGCAGCGAGGAGACGGTTGGAGGCAGTGGAGATGTCCTGTTTAAGGGCAATGTGTGGTGTAAATATTATGCAGAAAATTCGGAGTGTGGAAATTAGGAGAAGGTGTGGAGTTAATAAAAGTATTAGTCAGAGGGCAGAAGAGGGGTTGTTGAGGTGGTTTGGTCATTTAGAGAGAATGGATCAAAGTAGAATGACATGGAAAGCATATAAATCTATAGGGGAAGGAAGGCGGGGTAGGGGTCGTCCTCGAAAGGGTTGGAGAGAGGGGGTAAAGGAGGTTTTGTGGGTAAGGGGCTTGGACTTCCAGCAAGCGTGCGTGAGCGTGTTAGATAGGAGTGAATGGAGACGAATGGTACTTGGGACCTGACGATCTGTTGGAGTGTGAGCAGGGTAATATTTAGTGAAGGGATTCAGGGAAACCGGTTATTTTCATATAGTCGGACTTGAGTCCTGGAAATGGGAAGTACAATGCCTGCACTTTAAAGGAGGGGTTTGGGATATTGGCAGTTTGGAGGGATATGTTGTGTATCTTTATATGTGTATGCTTCTAGACTGTTGTATTCTGAGCACCTCTGCAAAAACAGTGATAATGTGTGAGTGTGGTGAAAGTGTTGAATGATGATGAAAGTATTTTCTTTTTGGGTATTTTCTTTCTTTTTTGGGTCACCCTGCTTCGGTGGGAGACGGCCGACTTGTTGAAAAAAAAAAAAAAAAAAATTAGATAAAGTTTTCCTTGAGCAAAATCTTGTTCTGCTCTAAGTGTCTGTGTTACCCATCCTGTCAAAACTCTGCCTTCCATCAAGGTCTGCACTCGCTGCCTTTCTGTCCTCCCCTATTACTACCTCAATTAACCTATTTCAGAGCTGTAAATAATACCCATTAATTTAAGGAAATAAATTAATTTCACATGACTACCATCAAATAAGCTATAGCATTAGTAAAAATAATAAAAGCCAAGATATCTGTGGATAGACCAGTTCCTTCAGAAATTACTCTACATATCAATCAACTCTATGAATATTACTCATACTGTATGCTGAAAAAATATAACTAATTTACAAATTAAAATGTTTTTTCTTTACTGCACTAGACCAATAACCACTCTCAGATGGAATTTAACCTTTTGACTGTTTTGGTCGTATATATACGTTTTACGAGCCAGTGTTTCGGAGGTACATATACTCAATAATTCTAGCGGCTTCAAATCAAGCAGGAGAAAGATGGCAGGCCCACATGTGAGAGAATGGGTCTGTGTGGTCAGTGTGCACCACATAAAAAGAACCTGCAGCACGCAGTGCATAATGAGAAAAAAAAAACTGACCGTTTTTTTGGATTAAAATGCCGACTTTGAGGTGTATTTTAGTATAGTATTCATCATTGTATTCTTGTTTTCATGGTCTCACGTGATAAAATGGAAAACATATTGCAGAAATAGAGATGATTTTGATTAGTTTCATGATGAAAATAATCTTGAAATTGAGCTCAAAGTAGCGGAAATGTTCGATTTTTACCAATGTACAAGAATAAGCAAATCACACCACACGTCCAATACACGTCAACTGGGGAGTCTAATATTCTTTCACTGATATTATTTATACCATTTTTACAATAATGCAGTAGTCTGCAGAACAGTAAATTTTCTATTTTTTGTATGAATAAAATATCAAAACAGAAAGCAATAGTAATAGTAATATGTTATTTTAGTGCCAAGAATGTCTACATTGTTTATTCTGGACCCTATTTTGAAACTGGCATCTTTTTTAATTTGCGTGAAATTGGCCAAATTGCCAATTTCTGACCACTTTATTGGGTAGTTCAAATCGGTAAATGGGCAGTTTCTTGTACCCAATTGATAGAAAAAAATGGAGTTCCAAAAAAATAATTATGAGTTTGGTCAACTGGAACAACGGAATTGACTAAAAACAGGGCTCAAAGTCAGCGAAATCGCCAATGCATATGTCGCTGAGACTAACTTCGTGGGAGCGTAATTCCGTGAGTTTTCGACCAAATTTCGTACTTTTGGAGTCATTACCATTGGAAAAAGATTCTTTTCATTTCATAAGAAAAAATAATTTTTTTTCCCAAAAATTTTGCGATATAGAATGACAGTTTCAGAAAGGGGCTTGCAGCAGTCAAAGGGTTAAGACATGCTACTACAATATGTTTCTCTTAAATTCTCCCTACCTGATGTTGTGCTTCCCTTGACAAAGCACGAAGAAGACCTCCCAGAGCAGTGCCAGTACCAATAATAACTGGTACTAGCACTGCAGTCATCCCTGCCATTTGTGGTGAGATCATAAAAATGGAAACACCACAACCCACTATCTGAGGAGAAAAAATACAGATTACAGTATTTGCTCAAATGTAGTATTGAATATTAACAATAACAAGTTTGAAATATGTGAGGGTAATTTGCTTTAGGAAATATGGCAGTCCTGTAATGGAAACGTAGGATAATGGTGCTCCTGTAGAGATGACTGACACTAAACCTATTTACAGAAATGTAACTACATACAGCAGGGCCTCATTTATATGGCAAGTTAGGTTCCAGGCTACCACCAGAAAGTGGACATCGCCGGAAAGCAGAACGCCATTGTTTTCTACTTATAAATGCATATAAATGCCAGATAACAAGTTTACGCATATATTTACTCTTTCAGGGTTTCGGCCGTACTAGTACGGCTTATGCACCAGGGTTTTTGATGTACTAGTACGCCTAAATTCTACCGTCCTCAAATCTAATGAGAGAAAGCTGGTAGGCCTACATATGAAAGACTGGGTCTATGTGGTCAGTGTGCATGGTATAAAAAAAAATCCTGCAGCACACAGTGCATAATGAGAAAAAAAACTTTGACTGTGTTTTTGGATTAAAACAGCAATTTTGCACTGTATTTTCCTATGGTATTTATTGTTGTATTCTAGTTTTCCTGGTCTCTTTTTATAGAATGGAAGACATACTACAGAAATTGAGATGATTTTGACTGGTTTTACAATGAGAAGTACCTTGAAATTGAGCTCAAAGTAGCAGAAATGTTCGATTTTTACCAAAGTTCAAAAGTAAACAAATCATGCTATGCGTCCAATACACGTCAACTGGTGAGTCTAATATTTTTTCACAAGTGCGCTGATATTATTTATACCATTTCTAGACTTATGCAGTAGTCTGCATAACTGTAAATCTTCTATTTTTTTGTGAGAATAAATATTCAAAGTGGAAAGCAAAAGAATGTAAGAGGGGCATGGGGACGTGACTAATGAACAGAGAAAATGTTATTTTAGTGCCAGGAATGTCTTTCTTGTTTATTCTGGACCCTATTTGGAAATTGGCATCTTTTGAAATTTGTGTGAAATTGGCAAAATAGCTAAATTCTGACCACTGTATTGGATAGTTGAAATCGGTAAATGGGTGGTTTCTTGTACTCATTTGATAGAAAAAAATGGGGTTCTAACGAAATAGTCATGATTCTTGCCGACTAGTACATTGGAATTGGCTGAAAATAGGGCTCAAAGTGGGAAAAATCGCTGATGCGTAAACATCGTCGAGACCGCTAACTTCGCGAGAGCATAATTCCCTAAGTTTTCCATCAAATGTCATACTTTTGGTGTCATTATGATCAGGAAAAGATTCTCTATCTTTTCATAAGAAAAAATAATTTTTTTTTTTTTTTGAAATTTGGCCGACCCTGAGAACAAGTCTCTGAGAGGGCCTGTCGACCCTGAAAGGGTTAAGTTAGCAATAGAACTAGGCATTAAAAACAATGAAAAGTAAAATACACACCCAGTACACCCATTATTTACCTCAAAATATTTGTAGTCTTAATGTAGGGCAAAAGGTGAGTACTGTGGAACCTCTACTTGCGAGTTTAATCCGTTCCATGACCTTGCTCGCAACTGGATTTGCTTGTTTGCAGAGTCAATTTTCCTTATTTAAATTAATTGAAATGCAATTAATCCATTCCAGTGGAATTCTGTATTTCAATAATTTCGCAAATATCAACTTATTTATCTATCTCACTTCATCTAGTATGACATAATAAACAATATCAATAACATAGAAACCTGATATATACTCTAAAATTAATAAAATAATTAATTCAAGTAGTGGTATTGGAGGTGTCGGCAGCGGATGAAAGTTTGCCTGGAGACAGGACAAAATACTTCTTGAATAATTTCACTAATATCATCTATATGGCTTATTTATCTATCACAGCCCATCTAATATGACATAACAAACAATATAAACAACATAGAAACATGATACATACTCTAAAATGAATAAAATATGTCATTATATATGTAGCAGCGGCAGCCAACGAGAGTTTGTCTGGAGACAGGACAAAATACTCCTTGAATATTTCGCTATCATCAACTCTATGGCTTATTTATCTATCACAGTTCATCTAATATGAAATATTAAACAACATAAATAACATAGAAACCTGATATATACTCTAGAATGAATAAAATATGTCATTATGTAACAGGGGGAGGTGGCCACAACCGCTCCCTCTTTGTTGTGGTAAACACTGCCATCTAGTGACGGCCTTTTGAAGCTGTCTACTATAATTATTATTATTATTATTATTATTATTTCTTTTTTGGGTCACCCTGCCTCGGTGGGAGACGGCCGACTTGTTAAAAAAAAAAAAAAAAAAAAAAAACGTTATTATTCTAGGTAGTAGGTTGGTAGACAGCAACCACCCAGGGAGGTACTACCGTCCTGCCAAGTGAGTGTAAAACGGAAGCCTGTACGTAATTGTTTTACACGATGGTAAGATTGCTGGTGTCTTTTTTTTCTGTCTCATACACATGCAAGATTTCAGGAACGTCTTGCTACTTCTACTTACACTTAGGTCACACTACACACACATGTACAAGCATATATATATACATAACCCCTGTGGTTTTCCTTCTATTTTCTTTCTAGTTCTTGTTCTTATTTATTTCCTCTTATCTCCATGGGAAAGTGGAACAGAATTCTTCCTCCGTAAGCCATGCGTGTTGTAGGAGGCAACTAAAATGTCAGAAGCAAGGGGCTAGTAACCCCTTCTCCTGTATATATTACTAAATGTAAAAGGAGAAACCTTCATTTTTCCTTTTGGGCCACCCCACCTCGGTGGGATATAGCCGGTGTGTTGAAAGAAGTACATTATTATTATATATGTCTTATTTTTATATGTATTATATTATTATTATTATTGTTGTATTATATTATTATTATTGTTGTATTATATTATTATACTATTATTATATGTACAGTAGGGCCCCGCTTTATGGCGTTTCGCCTTAGGTGTTCTGCTAATACGGCAATGTCAAATTATGACCGAAATTTGCTATACGGCAAGCGGTCTTTCAAATACAGCACACCCCACCCAGTTTGTTAACATTCTTCGTGACCACATCTATTATGTCAGGAAACTTTCCAAAATTTCAAATGTTTTAAAGTTACTGCATATTTTATATGTATGTACTCTGATAATTATACTTATGTGTACCTGTACCTAAATATACTTGCACACTGTGCTGGTGAGGAGGTACACATTAAAATCGCTAAGTCTCTCTACTCATGACACCAATACTACGTAATAATAATCACTCTTGGGCACATTAAATGTCTTATTTTACTTTAATATAGGCATTTTCATTAATCCATCTATGATATTTTCCTCAAAATTATATATGAAACCTGTTACATAGCATATAAACCTGATACACACACTCACAGAATAAAAACTGATGTAAATATGAGATTTGTTTACAAAGCGGCTGTGTAGGTAGTGTCAGAAGAATTACGTTTTCTCTAGCCAAACTAGGGAGTAACTGTAGAAAAATATACTTTTTGTATGCCTTCACTCTATATATATCAATTCATGATCCTTGTGGGTTTAGTGCATTTTATTGTGATAATAATAATAATAATAATAATAATAATAATAATAATAATAATAATAATAATAATAATAATATCTTCATTCACTCTAAAAATGGTGTGCTGCTGTTTGTTTATCCTGTACTAACTTGTACAACCTGTACACAATGTAATAGTAGTATTTGTATTGTGAGGTAATTATTAATATAAAAAAAAATATTGAGGTAAATGTTTTACAAACTCTTACAAACGTACGTGAATGAACTAAAAGTACACACATATTAATACGTATTTATTTTGCCTGACCAAGTGATTGCCCAATACCTGTTCAGTTTGTATTCTTACATTGTCTGAACTCTGTATCTCGTTCTCTCTCTCAGGTTGTTCTCCTCAGGTTGTTCTTCAACTCTATATATCCTTGGTTAGGCCTCATTTAGACTATGCTGCTCAGTTCTGGTCACCGTATTACAGAATGGATATAAATGCTCTGGAAAACGTACAAAGGAGGATGACAAAGATGATCCCATGTATCAGAAATCTTCCCTATGAGGATAGACTGAAGGCCCTGAATCTGCACTCTCTCGAAAGGCGTAGAATTAGGGGGGATATGATTGAGGTGCATAAATGGAAAACAGGAATAAATAAAGGGGATGTAAATAGTGTGCTGAAAATTTCCAGCCAAGACAGGACTCGCAGCAATGGTTTCAAGTTGGAAAAATTCAGATTCAGGAAGGATATAGGAAAGCACTGGTTTGGTAATAGAGTTGTGGATGAGTGGAACAAACTCCCGAGTACAGTTACTGAGGCTAAAACGTTGTGTAGTTTTAAAAATAGGTTAGATAAATACATGAGTGGGTGTGGGTGGGTGTAAGTTGGACCTGACTAGCTTGTGCTGCTGGGTCTGGTACAGTGCTCCATCCTTGAGTGGGGATGACCGGACTGGGTGGGTCATTGGGATAATCCGGGGGGTGGGTCATTGGTCTAATCCGGGGATGGGACATGGACCTGCTCCGCATGGGTCAGTAGGCCTATTGCAGTGTTCCTTCTTGCTTTTGTTCTTGGCTCTCACTGACGATGGCGTCTAAGCGTAGCTGTGATAAAAAGAGGAGTTGTAAGACTCTTGCTTTAAGTGCCAAGTTAGAGGATGATGGTGTGCCATTCTGATTTTATTCAATAAACACCCTGCCACTCACCTCTCACACATTAACATTAATATTTTAAGGTAAGTAATAAGTGTACTATGTGTGTATCTTACCTTTTATTGTGTTTTTAATGTCTATTTCTATTGCTAACTTAATATAAGTTAGTGTAAACTTGTTGTCTGGCATTTATATGTATTTATAAATGGAAAAAATGGCGTTCTGCCTTCCGGCGATGTCTGCTTTCTGGTGACAGCCTGGAACCTAACCTGCCTTATAAGTGGGGCCCTACTGTATTATTATTATACATATTATTA